AGAGAAGTAAAGTAAGAGAAGTAAAGTAAGAGAAGTAAAGTAAGAGGATAGGAATACAAACCTTAGGATCCTTTATCATCGCATCATTCTGAATCCATTCAGCCGCAAACTGGCGGAACCTGGGGAGGTCCCTCCCCAGAATTCCAGGCATATCCCACGTTCTGGATCACGGTCAGCACGAGGGTCTGAAGATATGAGGAGTATCATACGGGACGAATGAATGAAGTAACATACGGGACATAAGGTTCAATGCCGTGAGTGCTAACCGCACCGATGCTAGGTCGTAACCCAAAGCAACCGCACCACAGCGCCGGCCTCGTTATGCTCCCCCATGAATCGGTGCCGATGGCAATGTCCAGCCAGTCATATGCAGCAACGGCGGCAGCGCTCCCAGCACTACTACCTCCCGTCGATTGGTATCCGTCGGCGCGAGGGTTCCAGGGGGCATGGTAGTCGATGTACTCGGTAGCTTCCTCCCAGTTGCCAAACGAGTTCATCTTCGCCTTGCCAACTACTACCACGCCCCGATCAATGACCTTCTGGATGTTCTCAGCGGTCTGAGATCGTGGTGGGTAGACCTCATAGTATGCCCGGTTGCCTAAGGATGTCTTGATACCCTCAAGGTCGATGTTGTCCTTGATCACGATGCGCCATCCCGCCACGGGGGAATCGATCTTCGCTCGTGCTTTGATGCGAGAAGGGAGGGCGATGCTGACGGAGTCGTGATCAGAGCTAGCAAGCCTGAGAGTCTCGAAAGAATCAGAGACACTATGATGATCAGTAACTTCATTTACACTGGCGGCCGCATACAACTTACGCGTTCTGAGGCCGGACGGCAGTCATGCAGGTGCCGCTGGAGTCATCCACCAGTTTCCATACGTCCCTGAGTCGGCCTGCAATACGAGCGTAGGGCCCGGGAAGCATATCTGCGTTTGATATGTGCTCGATCCATCGATTGCCTAGTCCTTGAAGGTACGCCCGAGCTTCGTCCGTGACATGGACGTTGCTCGCCCCATGGAATATGACGCCGGCAAGAAAGCTCTCACTGAAGACATCATCTGTACTCATGTACTCATGTACAGCCTCTTTCACCCACTTCTCCGTCAAATATGGGCCCCTTTCGTCGGGGACGCGAAAGACGGTCACAAGGCTGAAGTCGTCGTTGCCGTCGTCTACAATGGCGTCCTATGAGAGTCAGGCTGAGGCAACTAGGGGTCCGGCTTCAGACGTCTTACGCTCTCCGAGTAGGGAACGAGGTAATTGGAGTTGTCTATCGACAAGACCTCATCCCTTCCGCTGGGAAATCGACTGATTTGCGCCATGGCTGCACCACCCTTCGGATGCTCGTAGAAGCGACGGTCCACAGCCCTCCTCAACGGAGCAATGCAGAGGCGCAAGACCTTCAGCATGGTGCTGTTCAGGAGCAAACCTACCTGGTCTCTAGATAGTGCAAAGAGCCATCGCAGCGTTCAAAGTCGTCGTCGGGCTAGCAGGGCCGCAAGCTGTCCCGCAGTAGACGCGTCCACGTCTCAATGCGCCCACCTGAGCAGGGACTTGTGCGCGAATGCAGCCAGAATCACGTCCCGGCGGCACGGCCTCACCGGTGGAAGGGCGCGTCCTGCGCCAAGACGCTAGAGTAGAAGGTGCAGGGGGGGTGTTCTAGACAGCTTTCGCACGGGCCCCGTCCGCCGATCCCGATCCCTATCCCGACCACGGCTCGGCTCGGACGAGTTCCTGCCCACGATGTGCGGCCCGAAAAATACGAGGACGCCTCCAACCAACATCGCCGACGCTCCCGAGGTCTCATGGCCACGACTTTTTTCAGCGTCCATCCGGCTCCGGGCCCTAGTTCCCAGTGCTCCTGGCATGACAACCCCGTCGGCACAAAGTCCCCAAGAATGGCAACCTCGAAGGAAATACGCGACAGTGCTCTCCGTCGGCTTCTTTGAAAGCTTAACGTACGCGCGTGCGACTCGAGCAGAGATCTGGGATGCTTGCTGACGATTCCGCATACCCAGGTTCTTGGTGTCGATGATGCTCGCACCCTGCGTCCCACAGATGCTTGCTTCTCTCGAGCCCACTGGAGGCAACAAAGCCCTAGGCGCCTTTGCGATATCCAGCTACATTCTCGGCTTCACCATTGGAATTCTGGCCATCGCGCCCCTCGCCAAAGTGTACGGACGAGCTCCGGTGCTGCGCGGCAGCTCGTTCGGCTTCCTTATATTCACTTTGCTCTGTGCCACCTCGAGGTCCATGGGCATGCTCATTGCTGCGCGCATCCTTGCTGGCTGCTTCGGTGGGGTCCCCATGGCCCTTGGTGGTGCTGTTATTGCCGATGTTTTTGGGCCTGGGAGCAGACACAAGGCAACGGCGCTTTACACTCAGAGTGTCATGATAGGCCCCTTGGTCGGCCCTGTATTGGGAGGTGCCATCAACGAAGGCCTGGGCTGGCGCTGGGTCTTTTGGATTACTTCCATACTGGTGCGTGATGAGGGGACCTTGATACCAAGCTAACACAAGTGCTAGGCGGGAATCTGCTCACTGGCCATTTTCTTCCTGTTAGAGGAGACGGGTATTGCTTCACTTTCGGAGAATGGCCATGACCAAACGACCAGTGACAGTAGAGACTGCATCACCGTGCGCTGGCCATTTCCTTCGATGTCGGGGCTCCTGAGCCTTGCCGCGACAGCAAAGGAGCTGACCCCTCCAAACATGGCTATCACCGCAGCACTTCTGGCTACACTGGTGAACAACGGTGTCTTCAACATGATACTCGTATCTCTAGGTTCAACGGTTCAGGAACAGTACTCCTTCTCGCGCACCGAGGCCGGGCTCCCATATCTAGCTTCCGGACTTGGATGTACAGCTGGTCTATGTGTCGTCCCGAGTATCAGCAGAAGAATCAAACGCGCGAAGAATGAGCATGGAGAATGTGTGACGCCTGAGGATAGCTTGATACTGGTATATTACGGCGCGCCGATCGCGTCGGCCGGCTTATTGCTCTTCGGGTGGATGGTGGAATATCGCCTCCTCTTTGTAATTCCAACCATTGGATTATTCATCTTCGGGCTAAGCTCAATTGCCGTACGGGTGCGTAGTTGCGCTGACCGTACCTTGCGAAAATGACATACTAATAGTTGTAGCTTTCAATTCAGATTTACCTGATGGACTCTAGGTCGTCACACTCGGTTTCTATCATGGCTGCCTTTGCCACCGCAAACTCGATTGGCGGTTCAATCCTTCCTCTAGCTATATTTCCACTATATGAGCGTCTAGACTATGGGTATGGAAATATGATTATTGCTGGCGTTGAACTAGGCCTAGGTTTGCTGCCTCTATTCTGCTCTACTTCTATGTTTCGCCGGTGGCCTTGTAGCCGTAGCTATATAGGCTAGCTAAGCTACATTCTTCAAGAAAAGATTCTCTACTATTACTATAAGGCATGGGTAGTCTTAGTGGGGAAAACGCAAAATTTCATGGTTCGCACATGATTACGCTAACGACCCAAAGCTTACCCAACAGAAAAAACGGGACATAAGATTAAGCCACAGCATGCAATACATCACTCGTCCTCGCGAGCCAGTCCCTATTCTTGATTGACCACGACGCGATAGCCCCAAGGAGCCATGTAGTCATATGCCACCGCTTCTTTCGCCTCCCCAAGCCTTCCATTCATCAAGTCACGTTGTTGCGGAAGGGGCACGAGCTCGTCCAGCACGGCTTTGGCTTCGCTAGCGAAGAGGTTGGCTTGATCATCCCGTGACATTGCCTCGAGGTCCTCTCGGCGTTGTGAATTCGGTGCGGATGAAGTATAGCTAGACGAAAGGCTGATATTTGACGGCTGCTGTGTGCCTGCCAGTCACGTCACATCCCTCGTTGCGTGCAAAACCAACGATAGATAGTATTTCGCTCTTGCAGCGTTCTCTTTGGGCCAGTAGGCCTTCTGGCAGTTGATGAGAACTCTCCGAATGCTATCCCTAGTGTTACGTCAGCATACGTTCATGAATCTTGGCTAATGTAGGTAGAAGTACTCAGCCGCTGTGTAGTCGCCTTGGAAGAAGTACATGATTCCCAGTGTCAGATAACTTTGCAGCGTCAAAGCGTTCGTCTTCCCACATCTTGTAAGCCTGACTTCTAGAATCTCTCGATGAACATTAATCGCTTCCTCAGCTCGGCCGTCTTGAAAGAGGAAGGTTGCCCAATCGAACCGGTATACGGTCGTGAGTAACGTTCCGGCTGCGGCAGCCTTCATCAGATCGGCTCCTTTCTCTGCATACTCGGCGGCTTTCGCAGTTTCCTTCCGGTACACTAGTACAAATGCGATCGAATGGTAGTACTTTGCGTACTCGTATGGGAAGTCGTCTTCGGAACCTCATGTCTCGAAGCGCGCAAAACATCTTTCAGACAGCTTCTCGACTTGGTCAAACCGATTGAACTGTTGGTAACTGCAGCTGAGGTCCATGACTGCATTATGAAGCAGGATGCCCTCGTCGATCGATGGATTTCGACCTTCCAACGCGCATTCGCGGAGCGCGAGAGCTTTCTTGCGCCGGTCTAGACCTTCGTCGCGCCGGGTGATACCGAGGGTATCGGTGTACATGCCGATGCAGATATGGATGTTGGTTCGAATGGGACTCGCTTGATCGAATCCTATTGCGTCCAGCACACTTTCCGCCGTTCTCATCAGCGTCTCTCCTACTTTGATTAAACCTCTATCGTAGAAGTCCATTCCGAATTGAGCGCACATCTCGGCCAACTCCAGGGAACCATCGATCTTGGGCTTAGCTCGACTGTAAGCTACCTCCATACTCTGGATGTGCGGAAGGTACTTCTCGATCAAAGGCCAGAGGATATAGTCCGCTTGCTGCAGAAGAGACGGTTTCGGCAACACCGCGGTGACAAGTTTAAGAGCTCGATTGAAAGCTTGTTGGCGCTCAGCGGTTGAGCTTGTCGAGCAGAGCACGCTGCAGCGACCTGTGCATGCTCAGACAAGGATCTCCTGCCGCGGTTTCGCGTTTTACCAGCTGGTACTCTGCGAGGTCGCCAATCATTTCCAACTTCGCGTAGGGGTCCAGAAAGGCAAGCTCGTCGTCTGGCTGATCTTCCACGAAAATCATATCTTCGGGCACACCCTCGGGATTGAGAAATGCTAGGATGTTAAGGAGATCCAACGTGTGCACAGTTAGACGTGTCAAAGTAATGTCGAAGGCTTCGTTCGGAGGTTTGTCGTAGCCGAGGTTCTTATCAGCGGTAGTGTTCTTGGGAATACTGCTCGTCTTCTGGACCAGGGAGAGATACTCCTCCAAGGAACTCTTTGAGAAGTTTATGAAGCCTCTAGCCTGGTTCAGATATAGAGGAAGACCCCAAATGATCTCGGTAATCTCCACGGCCAGATCCTTGTTCTCCTCTTCTGAGCCTTCTACTTTGAGGCTTGAAAGCAGGAGACGCGACCCCAGAGTTGTGTCGAATGGGCACAGCTTGACGTTGTGTTCAGACCACCCGGTCTCGTCGCCAGGCTTCTGAGTCGTGACGAGGATACACCCAGAGCATATGGTGGATTCTGGTACGTAAATTTGGATGTCTTCCCATTCCTCCACGTTGTCGAAAATGAGCAACCACCGTTCCTCTGTGACTGTCAGCAGGGACCGAAAGCAGCGTGTACCAGCTTTATATACCTGTGGTCTGGAACCAATCCCTCACCCGTTCGATAGTATTCTGGTCCGCTGCATCGATCTTTATTTTCCTTGCAAACGCGTTGTACGAGTTCAAGAGTTCGGTGGAGCTCTCCGCTCTCGCCCAAAAAATCCACTCATAGTCCGAGGAATACTGGTGGGCATACTCCTGTGCGAGCCTCGTTTTACCAACACCGCCCATTCCATGCACCACGCATGCTATCGGCTCGGAATCAGAAAGAGAAGACGTCGAGGCGTTCGAACCATCCAAAGGCGGATTGAGTATTTCATGGGTCTCTTGGAGCGAATCGGTACGGCCAAAGAATTCGCCTAACTCTCCTTTGATCTTCCTCGGAAAATTCACCAGGTTTCTTGCTGTCTTCCGTGATCGACGTCCGGCGTCGGATATGGTTCTAGCTGGTGCTGTAGAATAGGGTAGACTTAGCGCCGTGGGACGGGATACTAGGGCAATGATTTCGGCATCGTATCGCTCTCTGCGGGCCTCGTTGGCGTGAAAATCGAACTTCTCTTTGTGGATAGTAGTCTGGGATTCGATGTCTCGGGGCTTCTTGCTAGTTTGCTTGGAGGAGTTCTTGTTCAACCGAAGGGGGTTCGTACCTTGTGGGATATCAGCTGAGAGAACCTAGGTACGAGGTAGGTGTGCGATCACTCACTGCCCTTGTTTTTGGCCAGCGCTCGAGACAAATTAATAGCAAAATTCGGACCTCGCCCAACCTCCCAGTCCACACACCTCTGCATCGTCACTAGACGCATACATTAAAAGCGATGCGGTTTCGATACAACTTCACTGCTCTGATATTTTATTTTGGCCTCTTAACTCTCCTTCAGCTCTGCTTCTTTGGTCTCCCAAGCGTTGGCAGGTCGTCTCCCGTCCCTGGTGAGTTCGAGCACAAGCGGAACTGCAAGACGAAGACCAAGGAGCTAATATATCGACCATCTCTAGTTGAGCCTTCGAAGAAAATGGAGGCAGTCGTCAAGCGCCTCGCGGCGCTGCGGCCCGCTATCGAGGAGATGCTCTCTCTCACAGGCACGGCCGGCCTGACCTACGGCGGCGTTTACCGCAGCGAAGTCATCCATATCGAGAATTTTAGATACCGAGATGTCGGCCAAAAGCTGCCAGTGAATGAAGACACTATCTTTCAAGTTGCGTCGCTCACCAAGAACATGGTAGCTGCGACGGTCGGCATGCTGGTAGAGGACGGCAAGCTGCGCTGGGATACGCCTATCAAGGATATCCCGCCCGATCGATCGATTGATTGATTTCTCTCGTTTTAAGTCACCAACCTATAGAGATTATGCTGACTACGCCAACGCATAAAAGGACTTAAAAGACGCTAATATTAAGAGAAGAGAACAGGGTATTACAGAACTACGGGCAAGTAGCATAAGTTAACAGAAAACAACGGTTTAGGCGCGGATAACGAGGGCGTAGCCTACTACGCGCTGTGAACTATAGCACAAAGCTGCTAATGAAAAAGGAGCCCTAGAAAGCCCCTTAACAACAACGATGGTTAACGGAAAGGGCGCAAACAACACCAGCAAAAGGGCAGTGAGGGCGGACAGCTATAAACGCTGCGCGCGAGGCCTACAGGTATAAAACAGAGTCTCGAACGATGGCACCTCCGATTCTCCTCTCTGTCGAAGGACCGGCGAACTCTTTCTATCAGACAACACGGAACTCCCAGGCGAGCCTACGGGGTCAATAAGCTCTGCAACAGAAGGCCAGGGGGAGCTGGCAAGGATACAAGCCTAGCTCCATCAAGCACGACACTACAAGGGCATTGCAGTTCCTCAAGTGGCACCTCAAGATCCTAGAGGAGCAGGCTAGTATAGATTGATTGATTGATTGATTTCTCTCGTTTTAAGTCACCAACCTATAGAGGTTATGCTGACTACGCCTACGCACAAAAGGACTGAAAGACGCCAAAATTAAGAGAAGGGAACAGGGTATCACAGAACCACGGGCAGGTGGCATAAGTCGACAGAAAAGAACGGTCGGGCGCGGATAAGGGCGTAGCCCACCGCGAACTATAGCACGAGGCTGCCAACGAAAAGGAGCCCCAGAAAGCTCCTCAACAACGACGATGGTCATCGAAAAGGGCGCAAACAAAAACCAGCAAAAGGGCAGTGAGGGCGTACAGCCATGAACGCTGCGCGCGAGGCCCACAGGTATAAAACGGAGTCTCTTTCCTGTCCCAGTCCACCACATCTTGCACAATATTCGATCGAGCAGCTCACACTACACACGAACGATGGCACCTCCGATTCTCCTCTCCGTCGAAGGACGGGCTAGTATAGATGCCCCTCCGTTCTAAAGCATTAACTAACGCACAGCAGAGAAGAGTAACCCGCTAAGCAACACTAACTACATCCTTAAATAGAAAGAGTTTGTTAAAGGTCTACTTTAGAAAACGTAGAAAGACAAGAGCTACAATACTAAGGAGAAGAAGGCTATTAAGGGTATTAGCGAGTAGAAAGAGGACTAGATCTAAGACTTCTTAGATCTAGAGAGGAGGTAGAGCACTAGGAAACAACAGCAGACAACTTAGGTAGCAATCCACTGTCAACTCATGCCTATACACCATGTGCAAAGACTCTATATGTAAGACACTACGGATCTGCGTCGAAGATCCGTATCCTGCCCGACTGGCACTTGCAGGATCCCACTGTACACAACCTAACTAAGATTGTTGACTGTTTGGCCCATCGAACGGGTCTGTAGATGAACAACTACTGGCTGGAAAGCAACAACAACATCGCCATTCCCCTCAAGGACAGCATGAAGCTGATCAACGGTCTCAAACCTGTCAAGCCATTTCGTGGCCAGCTCCAGTACAACAATCTTAGTTACGAAATAGCTAGCCATGTCATCAAGGAACTCTCTGGCCAGACCTGGAGCGAGATGCTGCAGTCCCGGCTCTTCGATCCCCTCGAGATGAAACGAACTGGCACGCACGAGAATTTCGCTGGCCCGGACAAGGAGTATGTCGGCGTCTACTTGAATCATGTTGGTACCGTGCACATTGATGTTTCATTGACTGATGGGCAACTCAACATCATATTCCAAGGGCTCCCGGATGAGGTATGGCCATTGCACCACTGGGAGCACGATATCTTCACGTGGCTTCCTGAATCGCGGGATGCAGTCGCAAGCCGAGGAAGATTCACCTTCCAAAGTCCGGATTATTACAAGATCAAGTTCGGCATTTCCGATGACGGTCAGGTGGAATCACTGACCTGGATTCATGAAGGCTGGAACGTACCTGAAGGGGAAGACTTCTTCAAAGTGGGTACACAGAAGGCTACACAGAAGGAGTTTGGCCAGCAAGAACCACTACAGGGGCCTAAGCTTAGCTGACTTGGTGTGTGCCACATCTTGAGAGTTTGTTATTGCAGGAGGGCATGAGCAGAGGGTAGGCCGTGACTCACATGGATCGGGTTGGATGCATCGATTGGGCCAAGGTTCGTGCGATATTTGCTTTTAGATTCCAAATTCAGGTGTGCAGATCGCACCGTGCTGAATACCACCGGTTATGACCGCACTTCCGCCTTGGCGTATCAATGCGCCCTCTCCCATACATACAGTCCCCCCTGGCTCGGATTGCTAGCGCGTGTGTAGCGAGTTTTGTGTAAAAGTCCAGCTGTTGGGGCGTGCCAGCGTTTAAAGCCACACAGCGCTAGCAATCCGAGCCGGCGGGCACTGTAGTATCCTTGTTTTTCAGCTCTAGACCGTAAGAAATCCATTGGACCGTTCGACGCACGCGCCTGCGGGTCAGCTTTTGCCTGAATGAAGCGTCCGAGACGCAGTCTCTGTATTATGCTGCCTTCTCATGAATGCCGCTGAGCCTCCGAATGGCTGATGGTGCAGCATAGCATCTGACCAGATTCTGAGGAGGCTGGAAGCCTGTTGAAAGCCCGGATGTCGTCAGTTTCGCAGACATTCCTACGGCACACATATGCTAACATGTCTAAGAACATGCCGCGCGACGTTATCACAGGTAGCTTCCGTTTTATACAATGGCAAGAGCTCTACAAGCGCGAAAAGCCGTTCCAAGTCCTCACACAAATCCCGCCTGAAGCCGAAGATCAACGCGACAACAATCTCATTTTCAAAGATGAGCAAGTCGAAGTTAGAGATGTTCGATCTATGAGCATCCCACCAACGCTAGACACCTACGGTTTTATGTTCCGAAAGCATGCGCTCTCCTGCGCTGATTTCGGAAGCCGCCGCGCCGTAGAAGAGACATACTTCCCCGAAGTGGAGCGCTTGATGAGACAAGAAGTAGAGGGTGTTGGCGGAGTCTTCATTATTCGACTGGAGGCTTAGGAACACACTGCCGGAAGCACCACCGGGAACAGTGCTGGATTTCAATGACAGAACTTCGTTCTTACGTCCAGCCGTACACTTCCACGTCGGTGGGTAGAGAGTATTCTGATATAGTATCACCCTCACTGACGGATATTCAGATCAGAGTCCAACAGATGCCCTGAACCGGGTAATGCTTCAGCTAGAGGAGCATGCTCCAATTCTACTGAAGGACCGCGTTCGAGTAATCAAGTACGTCCACCGTTCCGGAAGACTCTGGATTTGCCTAGATACGGATACTGATTGCCTTTGTTAGTATATGGCGACCTCTTGTCGGGCCCATAGGAGATTGGGCCCTTGCACTTTGCGATGGGAGTACCGCGGAACCGAACGACTTCATCGAGACTGATCACATCCGACGCCATTACACCGGTTCTTCGATGTACTTGCAGAAGAAGCCTGGCCAGGAGTTCTACTACATGAGTCGGCAGGATAGAGGTGATGTATTATTCCTCAAGATCTTCGACTCGAAGAAGAGCGTCAGAGCGCCGTATAAGTATTTCCCGCTAGCAATTGGAACTCCCGTATAACCTTGAAGATATAGATTGCCCCCACGCTTCCTTTCGGCTTCCATATGATGAGGCAGACGGTGTTCCAAGACAAAGTATCGAAATGCGGTGCTTGGTGTTTAGTAGTAAAGCGGAAATTCCAAAGGGATATCATGAGCAAGTCCGCCCTCGGACTGCTGAGCGCACCGAAGCAGAGATAGACATGAATGGGCATTGATGGCACTTTCAGCATGATTATACAGCTTTCATCATCACGCCTCTTGAAAAGAATATGGTGGCTCATCCCTAACAAACCGGTAACGACTCGCGGAGACAGTGAGTCATACTTTTGGGGTTACCTGGGGGCAACTCGAACCCTCAGAGCCCGGGGACTCCGTTTGACCCTGAAAGAATGCACGCAAGGCTGGGCCCCGTTTGTTACACCAAGGGCGGCACACGGCAATGCGCCTCCTTCTCCCCCATGCGGGGTGTGGTGATACGCAAAGATAAGCTACAGGAAGGCTGGTCCCCGACTATTGCTTCAAGAACGGCACACGGAAATGCGCCCATTCCTCATCCGTGCGGGGTGCGGTGATGAACAAAAGACAAGCTGCAGGGAGGCTTGCGTCTATTGGTAAGAGGACAGGTGTGAGCCTCTGAGTGGTCTGGACGTTGCTCTGTGGAATAGATGCACCATCCACCCACTTTTCGCGCGCATGCAAGCAGCGCACGACAGCCATTATTTTGCCAGCAGCGTAGTAAGTCCTCGCTCCGCGCAGAATATGTATACATTCGTCAGTTTCCAACGCCCCCGCTTCTTCTACGACACGCTGTCTTCACCCTCCCGAGTCTTGAGCGCTTCATACAATCACGAAGTATGCCCCTTTTATTCTCATTAGAAGTCCTCATGCTCATCGTGATATAGTATCAAATAGTCTCATATACCATCAGCACCATGCCCATGGATCCCGACCCAACCCATCCTTCACTTGGGGCACCCAGAGATCGTGACCCAAGCCCAGCGTGAAGCGAAGGCAGTGCTTCAGACAGAGCCTCCGACAGCGACAGCACCGACTAGGTGAACCAGACGCTCGCAAAGGCTCAGAACGGCAACCGCATTCAGCCCTGGAAGAAGATCTTCAAGTCCGACAAGGTGCTTGAAAATATGGAGAATACGATGGAGGATGACAAGGACTTGGTCATTGTTCCTCCGAGGCTGCCCCTGGCTGGTGAAGCAACAATCTATGAACAGCAGAGTCTGGCGGGTTAGCTTACGGTGCCGACTGAGTGCGCAAGTCCAGGCTCCCTACCTAGGTGGGTAGTGGGGGCAGGGGGTGCATTGGCGGGTGGATTCACGGGTACTTCAGAATACGGGCCATTCTTTCAAACAACTCATGCAGCGGGTGTTGGTAGTCAATCAAGATTGGTATTATTTCAATCCGCGCTCCAATAATCCTCCCTGATAACCCACGAGTTCTCCTCTTGAATGCTGCACCCCGCACTACGCGGTGGAGATGCCTCTTCCTGCTGTGGCACTTCCTATGCTCTCACGGATTTCTTTAGTAATTCATCTTGCTCTTCTAATCGCCTGCAGTCTGTTAGTGGCTACGAAATGAAACGGATCACTGTCAAAGAGGGAACTCACCAGAACAGGAGATTGATCTTCATCGCAGATAAACTGGGTGTGATTCGCTGGATCTCTCTCACAGTATTCGCAGGCTCTGTATTTCTTCCTAGCTTCCAAGTGCCGACGAATCTTCTCAGCCCTTTCTGACCTGGAGACTGCACCCGCAATGATCTCTCCAACTTATCAACCAGTTCCCTGATTTGTTCATACATCTGAAAGGTGTTTTCGAGTGATGCAAGCTTTAAGGGGAACCGTTTGATGATCGGTTCGATGGCGTCAATGTCGGCTATAAGCACCTTGCTTGATTCGGCGAGAACATTTCCGTAGGCAACCAAGTCTTCTTCGGCTTTTTCAAATTGCTTGTAAAATGTATAGAGGATGGTCAGGCCGCCCAAAGACGTCGTGATGAAAGTAACGATGGATATCCAGTTTGCTGCGATGGAGAGTGGGCTATCTCCGGAGTCTGCCATTTTGTTCGCAGACGTGGGCTGGATCCCAACAGGCGAACCTCTGGAGCGCTCGTGCTCAGCAACGGGGCGTAGGGAATGGAAGCGTGTGCAGTGCCAGGCAATACAGCAGCGGGTATGCTGATGCAACCCATATTCCTTGCCGTGCCTCATCACATACTGATCGAGAGGGAACTGCTGTTGGATATTTTCGTACTGCATGCATATCGAACACCATCGTCCTTCATTTTTAGGGTGCCAGCCGTGTCTTCACCGGAATGTCAAGGGTTCGTCCCTCACCACTCCAAGCGAGCCGCACAGAGTCACAAGGCTGACAGTTTTCGGAGTCTTCGTGGTCCCCGCCAACGGCAAGCACAAATCGCAACTCACAAACCACGTCAGCCTTGCGCACCTGAGCACGTATGAATTTGTATGGGATACATGAGTGAATACCTAGGGGCTTAAAGCACCTTCATGACTACTTAGATATTCTGAGAACTAACAACAATAATTTCCAGATCAGTCGGCTCAAGGAGTTCTGAGGATTGCCCTGCAGAGAGTAGAGCCTCGCACTGCTGAAGGCTCCCTCAGCTCATTCTCGTCCGCTTCGGATGGCATCCTCAAGTTGTTTCACCCAATTCTCTACAACCTCATCGTTCGCGCTGCGGTTGCTAAACTCCCTCACTTTGTCTAGACCTTCCACACCCGCAAGCATTCTTTCGGAGTTCGTGTTTCCATCGAGGATCGCCCATAGAGCGAAGCTTCCGTGCTGACATCCGCAGCATCCGCGCACGCCTTCACCGGTAAAGACTGCAGCAGCGAAGCGTTCTTCTTGAGCACCCAAAACCCCTGGTACGTTATGCCCTTATCCTTGCAGAATGCTCGAAGCTCCACATCGTAACCCCTTCCCCCATGGAATGCATTCTGAACAATCGATGGTTTTACGCGCATATGCTCATACAGCAGCTCAAGCATTGGTAGACTGACGTTCGATATTCCAAGATGGCGCACAGGATGGGGAACAAGTGATGATATATAGTCCCAGACTTCCAAAGTTGACTCTGGGTTCCGAAGGGGAGCATGCAGAATCAGGCAATCTAAATACGCATGGCTGGTTGGGTCAGCCGGGCTCGGATCGTGGTTGAGATTCTTTAAGGAGTTGGCGACGGAAGTGATGACTTGAACTTGAAGTGGAGTGGTTGGATCGTACGGAATATTCTTCGGATCTTGGCAAGTAGACGGAGTGAATTTCGTCTGCAGCCACAGTTCGCCTTGAGGTATTGCGTCTGTTTCAATCACCGATCGAATAGCAGCCTCTAGAAGGTCTTCGCGGTAGTGCTTTGGTTGCGCTGCAGTGTCGAATGCTCTTAAGCCCGCTCTTACGGCTTCGCAAACAAGTTGCTTTGTATTTTCCGATTTCCAAGCGGTGCCATAGAGTAATCGTAGTAGTGTTGCTGGGCAAGCGGTGCCTTCCTCCGTTGTGTTATTTCTCATTGCCTGTCCGCCACAAGTCTCTCAGGCAACTCTGTTGATACCCTAGAAAGGATCGAAATGGTGGTGGAAGAGAGACAGCAGCTTGCAAGTGGGAAACTGGTTACCCAACATAAGCGTCACATTCTGCATGCCTTAATAACAGCCTTCCAAGACCGCGGCTGCCTAACGGCTCACACCGAATATTTCACACCGCATTGTGATTTGCTCCATTTACGGCTTACCTCTCACCGGAACTTCAGGCAGATATATAAATCCCTTCTTTAATACGTGGACTTCCAAAGTGCATCCACAGCTTTTATTGCATATATTCCTTAATACGCGCTCGCGGTCAGAATAGACATGGAGAAGAACAACTACACAGTCGTCATCACCGGAGGAGCAGTAGGTGTCCGTTTAGTAACTAGGATGTACCGCAGTTAACTGACATATGGTACAGCCTTACATGAAAGAGTACAACTTCAACACATCCGCCATGATACGCGATTCTATTCCAAACTCGTCCCTTACCGGGACCGACAAAGACATCCACGTTTTGAAGTATCCCATCGACGTGGAGTGCACCTTTGAATCTATGGGAAACATGATCGACGAGGTGTGGAGCAGGAAGTTGGCCGTCTTCCATCCAGGAGCGCAGGATAATCAAACCATTGACTACAACTTGGTCATACACATGGGAATGCGGGAAGGAGAGGATCGGATTTGCTTCGAGAGTATGGCTCGCAAGGAGCGTATGAAGTTTAAAGGGCTCGATGGAAAGGGTCTACCTTCCAAATACGACGCAGTTGGAGGCCTTTGGGAAGGAGTCCCAGGTGTTCTGCACCCCGATCTAGACATTGCAGGAGCGGCTGAGAAAGTCGCCCTACAATACCCCGTGAGTATCAACCGGAGCATGGAGTACCGCAGTTACTGATACTCCGGACGTGCCTTCACGCCTGTCCGCCGATGCAGGCGGCTACTTCTGCGAATTTCAGTTGTGGTCTTCGCTCGGCCTGCTCACGAAACAGGGAAATCCTCGCATCGCTTGCTTCGTTTACGTTCCCAAAGCCACAGATGACGAGGCGATTCAGAGTGGCGTCAAGGTCACCGTTGCTTTTATCAGCGCATTAGTTGACGCGATGGATACAGAGAAAAGTAAGCTCTGAGGTAGATTGACACACTAGTTAGCATATAGTGTTAGCCCTATACAGCATATGCTGGAGTAATATATTCTGGATTGCGATTGCCATTATGGAGGTTGCTTTCGCTTCCCGGGATAGAGCTGTTCGGTGCCAAACTCCTCATCCCGAAAGTACGCTCAGCGCTCACTCAATCCACAGCCATTGGCAATTGTTTCGATGGATATAAAGGGGGTATTGATAGGGAGGGCTCACCGATGCTCCCCGACTAAAGGTGGACTGTAGTCACGAGAGGTGAAGTTCAAGATCTCAACAAGGTCAACCGGTTGAGATGTGATGATCCCCAAGGTCCCTCGCACGCTCCCGACGCACGAACCACACGTGAAACGGGGATGAAACCCTGAACGATTCTCAACCAGGATTCTCCAAAACAACGGACAACCCGGGAAGCAAAAAGGTTATGCAAAAGCTTAGCTGGACGTTGTTCCTTGGAAACAAGGCTGCAAAACTTATTGAAGAGCCTCAGGATCCCAGATGCGAAGACGGAGAGGTGTGCACAAAACTCATTGAAGATCCTCAGGATCCCGGATGCGAAGAAGAACTAGGAGGTGAGGATGAGAGGGAGCAAGAGGAAGAGGAAGAACAGATGAAGCGATCAGTACATTTCTAATTAAGCTCGTGTTCCCATAAAGACCAGCACAATACAGTAAAAAACTACCCAGCTCAGCTCAGCGCGGCGGTCGCAGACCAGCTCATCATTGTCGTCATCGTCGTCATCCAGCTATGCACAGGTATTTACACATTCTCTTTATTGACAAATCCATATTTTTCTTCCCCAGACGCCTCAGTCTTGTCTTATCGCCCCAGTGAAGATGATGCAGGAGTGCAAGCCATCTAGTTGTCAGTGACGACATAGCGCTTGAACTCCTCGCCAAGGAGATCGACCTCCTCTTCCTGGTCGTCGTCGGTGAGTACGGGACCGTTGCTGGAGAGCTTCTTGGGGTCGCGCTTGGCAGTGGCTCCGGTTGCGCCGGTTGCGCCAGTGGCACCGGTCGCGGCACCTGCGGCACCTGCGGCGGGAACGTTCGCAGCGGGGACGGCGCCTGTCATAATTAGTAACGTGGTGAGGAGAAGATCGGGGATTGAGACATACCAGCAGCGGTTCCTGCGGTTCCTGCGGTACCAGCGGTGCCAGCTAGTCGTTTTGTTAGCGGAATTAGGATGAAATTGAGTATTCACTAACCAGCAGGAGCAATGCCAGCAGTTCCAGCGGTACCAGCAGTACCAGCGGTACCAGCAGTACCAGCAGTACCAGCAGTACCAGCAGTACCAGCAGTACCAGCAGTACCAGCAGTACCAGCAGTACCAGCAGT